GTTGGCCATGAACGGTTTGTTCAACATCACTAATGCATGATCCAGTGCTATCCTATCTCTAGATTTCGGAAGATAATAATTCGTTGTCCTCACTGCGATCAACTCGTAGGGTGGACCTACGGGGAGCGAAGACATTACGTTACCACGAATAACCCGAACAGCTTACCTAACACATCATGCTACTGATCAAACAACCAAATATTGTATGACGATGGAAAATTATAAGCATAGTCGTGACTTCACTTCAGTCCAGTCCAGTCAACCATCATGCTTCCAATACTGCGCTGTGGTTTTGGTAACCATCTGGCGGCGTCGTGCAGCTTAGAGTAAAATAAATAAGGACACAAAGTGAAAAAATCCGAAAACCAAATTTGAGCAGGAATTATGTTGTCAATAACACAGCTCGAATGGAACTACGCAACTGGCAGTGACACCTAGTCATAATACTTAATTCCCCCAACTATCTGCAAGGTGAGTCTCGTAGACCCCAACACGGAAGTCTAGCAAATCCTATTTGGTCACGTTCTGTGATCAAAGATTTCATACTATTTTGTCACGTCATAGGATGACCACATCGGTCAATCGTACAACCATTTCCTGTCTCGGAGAACAGCATACACCAAGGAAGTCTATCGGTTTATTTTCACCTCTAGGACCAACCGCTTGATCTCTAACTATTAATTGCCACCCAAAGTAAAATACAAGTGGAGAATCTATCTGTAGACATTCACAATGTCGGTCCTGACCACCCCCAAAGTGACCAGAATAAAAGCATTTTTCGAGATTTACCTTTGGTCTCAAGCAGAGCACGCTCAATTTTTACCCTGTTTCATAAATTTTCACTAAGTAAATCGGTTGTTGGTGCAAAGTTATCGGTAATCCAACGGCGATGTCTCCCAAAGGTCTTCTGCCCATGGTCGCCGCAGTCCTTGACTGTATAAAGGGACTCACATAAAAGCTGCACATCAAAAGCCGATCTCAGTCAGTCAAACAGGTATCACGTAGAAGTCATATAGGGCTGATATAGATCTCAAATAAAGGATAGGTACTCGTATCCAATCTACCGGTGGGGTTCAACTGAAAAGATAATAAACCTATCCGTGCATGTCTCTTGTTACAACAAGGTACGAAGTTGGACCAACTAAGTCCTGTTGCAGATATTTTACACTTTTGAGTAACACTGCTTCAGTTGAAACATTCATAGACTGACAAACAACTCGTCCTGCAGTAACAGGGCTTACCTCACCGCTGAAAATCATGGAATTAGTTGCATTATCCTTGTTAGTAATCATCAGCATTAGACATTCATTGATCTCCCTCTGGAACTCGAACCCGAAGCGAACTAAAGAGAGTCGAGCATCCAATCATCAGGATACCTGGGCGGATTCCACACAGTCTTTTACTTTCTCACCACATGATACAATGCAACTCAATCATCAGCTTTCCGGGAGAGACAAACCAGTGACGGAATGGGGATCAAATCGTATGATGTATGACTTTGCTTGGTTCGAGTTTTAGGAGGGCTCTGTCGATGTGCACCGCTGACGATTCCTAACAAGACTCAAAAAGCTGTATAGGGCTTCCATGGCATCCAGTGGCAAGCTAGGCTTTTAAAACGTATGATGAACCATCTGATAATCGATTTCATTCTCCTACCACTGAAAGTCGTACAGTGAGTTACGATAAAAATTACTGTTTAGTGTTCACACTGTAGATATTATAAAACGTGAAGACAGAATTACCGGAAACAGAGCACAGTTCGAATGGTTCCACCATCAAATTCACATTTCTTCACTTTCTATTCAGATGCTTACTTCCAGCATCATCCAGTGAAAGGTAAAAATAAGGGAAACAAGGTGAAAAGAATGAAAAAAGAGTAAAACGTGTAAATCAAGAGCACAAAGACAGAGCCTGGATGCAAATACGTCACTGGCAGCGACACCTAGTCATACCACTTAGTTCCTCCAACTATCTGCAAGGCGAGTCTCGTAGACCCCAACACGGAAGTCTAGCAAATCCTATTTGGTCACGTTCTGTGATCAAAGATTTCATACTATTTTGTCACGTCATAGGATGACCACATCGGTCAATCGTACAACCATTTCCTGTCTCGGAGAACAGCATACACCAAGGAAGTCTATCGGTGGATATGCGTAACACATGTATCAACCACCTTAGCCCGTTTAGATTCAATACTTGTCCCAGTATCTGACCAATGGTTCCCAACACCCAACACTGAACCTCAGCATTGCGAATACGGTATTCCCACGCCGGCACCGCGGATGATTGTGATTGTTATTAACTAGACGCACCTTCTGCATACATGATGAAACTCCATCTGATATATGTTCCCTTGGTAAGATTTAACTGCCTAGCAAACAAAACGTATCTACATCAGCTCGAGTTTCCCCCGATAACACAAGGATTGACATAGATCCAACCCAGTCCTCAAGTAGCGTTCTACATTTCGAAGGCGCAGAACGCACCCCATACATTAATACACTCATGTTTAGGCCATCTAGGAAAGCTTGCAACTTACCTGGACATTTATTCAAAAGAACAATATTGTCCGCGCATTTGAAATCAGACTGATCGATGGCACTATTCTCACACGAGGATAGGGCTATCTCAAGCACCATTTCAATCACAAAATTGAAGAGGAAGGACGATAGTAGGCTAACCCAATGAACACCACTTCTCTTCATGGACTTGAGTGAAAGACCCCCCCCCCCAAAAAATATAATCGGTTTCGGCTGTTTTCATACAAGGATTGGAAAAGAGAAATAAATCTCTGTGGCACAAACTTCGGTGAGGGGTGGCACCAGAGAGAACTGTGCAGTCGATTGAATCGATTGCCGCTTTCATAATGAAGAAGACAGATGTGGACCTACGGATGGTGTACTGGTGTTCTAAAATTTGTTGAATGGCAAATATGTGGTCGATACAAAGCCGACAAGGTCTGGAACTGGCTTGATTCTCACGAGTACACATTTCGCCAGCATAAGATAATCGGCGAAGAATAATCTGAATGAGCAGCTTGGATAGGACACTCAGCTAGCTAATTCCTCTTTGGTTTTCACGAGAGGACCTATCACCTTTTTTGTAATTTGGCACAATCACTGATTCAAACCATTCTCTGGGAATTTTTTCAATTAATCCAATTATCCCCAGAAGTTTTATTTACTCCGGAACCGAAACTTCACCTTAGTCCTTGAATCAAGATGCAGACAAACAATCTGATGCAGTGGCTACTTGTGTCAATACACAAAATGGACAAGGGTCCCTATCACATCACCTCAAGTTTATAAAAACCAAAATTGTGTCTATGGAGAAAAATAGGTAACGCTTTTTGGAATAAGATTCTTGGTGTTTTGTAGTGCTCATATTGGCGGACATGCTTCTGCTTCGACTTACTGTGAAACTAAGCTGTTTGTTAGACTTGCTAACCCGGAGTTAAATGGTGTTGGTTTTTTTCGGCGACAAGGTAATGTCCTCATGATCATTGGATATTTCCCAAGCGTGGAAAAAATTTTAACTACACGGGCGCTGTGTAAGCTGAGGTGGTGTAAATTCGTGTGTTTTTCAGCAGGCGCCGTGTTGAAATTCCAACTTGGTGATGGTGTATTGACTATTTTCTGATAACCTAATACATGAATTTTTTCTTGACCAATGTTCAATGTCCTTTTCATGCAAACCTTTTTTGGACCAAAATGTGTCAAAGTGATGTTCTCCAAATTTCAAAAACTGCCGTCCACCTTCTACCGTTTTCATTCGGGGAACTGATGGTCTACCATAATGTTGTGTGTTATTTTCTCATCTCCTGCACCTACACCCACGGGTTTTTATACTTCCTCGATTTTTCTTTTCTGTTTTAGACGGAAAATTTTGATCATTTTGTTGTCGTCGTTGCTCTTGTTGTTGCTTTTGTTGTTGTTGTTGTTGTTGTTGTTGTCGTCGTCGTTGCTGCTACTGCTGCTCTTGTTGTTATTATTGTAACAACATCGGTATCTTTGTTGACTTCGTCATTCTCAATCTCCTTGACAAATATGGATCGCTTGCTTCCGGGCTACTTAATGTCGCTTGTTAATGCCTTTGACGTATTATATTGGACACATTTTGTGGCTCAATCATCAAAATATCATTCAGAATTCTCCTCACCCAACCATCTGTTTATAGAAACAGCTTTAGTCCTTCGATCGGTAACCTAATTGTGCAGCGTAACAAGGTAGTAGGTGAGCCAAATGATCGACTCCGTCTTCCAATCAAATGTATTTTGCCAACCAAATCATTTTCCTCATCCCATGAATGGATTCGTCTACAAATCCTGTGTTTACCGAAAGTTCACGTTGTATTGGGTGCACAACATGCCTAATGACTTGACTTGAGCTAAATTCATAAGGTGCACATTGCATTATTCTAGGATTCCAAAAAAATGTGTAGTAGCTACGTGGGGTAAGCAAAATGGCTTGTTCAGTTTAGACAAGCTGAGATTAAACGGAATGAACCGATATTTATCTTTATTCCAATTTATCCATGGAGTCCCACCCAATCCCAAAACAATCATTTCACTTGAAAATTAGCTCTATTTTGGGGCAATATCGTACCATCATAGTGACGAGAAAACATTGTGACTAGAAACAAACAGTTTCATATGACTAGCATATGGTTACTACTTGCGTCAATTTTCAGGAATCGACCAAGACTTATCGCTTCCATAAAGAAAATCTTATTGCTCTTCTTTGTTAGAAGTGAAATTGTTTTTACTATTATTTCCTAATGAACTTTCTACTCTAGGGTGATAGTAGGTAGGTAAGTAGGCAGGCAGCTATGTTTGTATGTGTCAGTTTTTCTCGTAGGTAGAGTAATCTGAACTAACCCATCATGTTTCATAGTCATTTTCAGCCAATCAGCGGTATTTTATGTTATATGTAAATAAATATATGTATGAACAATCCATTGGGTGTGTCTTACACTCACAAAAACTAGGCCACGTGGAGGAAATGCTCGGTCACACTTTCATTGCATTTAGTTTGACCATTGCTCTTACCACCGGTAAGTCATTCATGGATTTATCGCTGCCGGAATTTCGAAGAGTGCGATAGGATGAAAAAAGCGTGTGTATGTGTGTGTTTACTTTCCCATAGGGTTACCAAATGAAAGCATCAAACGAAGTGCGGAGTTGAAAAAAGAAGAATGTGAGAGAAAATTTCCGGAGTGTCAGTCCATATATGGTAAGGAGATATCCGTTCATACACATGGATGATAAGCGCGATTATTAGCTTTATGATTATTATTATTATTATTATTGGGATAATTATTATTAGTAGTAGTAACTGGATGATGATGATTATTTCAAAAATGCGAATTAAATAGCGAAACTTTCATTTCCATTTTGTTGATCTCTTTTTTCATTATTCTTTGGGAGAAATCGATGAGATACCGAGAGAAAATCGCGTAAGTTTTCAACCTCATGAATAATCTGTCAAGTTTACAAGTCAGACATCACATTTCTAAAATAATGTTATCTTTTCATGGATAATTATTGATATCAATCTGTGAATCGCCAGCTGCCTTCAGATTGGCTTCGTAATCTAGCTGATGTGACGCAAACGATAGTTGGAATTCAGGTGTTTATACCTTCGTACCAAACCTATCAAGAGGTAAACGTGCAACCGCTTTGAATTGACCGAGTGGTTGGTAAAACTTGTCAGCATCTCATTTCTAACTAAGGAGAATCTTCTATTTCTTTTCTACCCACATCCTAAGCAAAAAGGTGGTGTTTTTGAAGATTTATCCCATTTATTTTCGTTTTCTTTCCGCCTACCAGATAAGAAACCAATTGAGTACACTAGACATAAATTATGTTCTCGTTCCATAGGTACCTACTGCTGTTCGTCACGAATCCAAAGACTCGTTTACCTTGTGTGAAATACTTTTGAAGCGATGTAAGTTGCCTTTGTAGTATATTGCTCCCATTGGTCATGGTTGTTTTCAGAAAGGAGGTTTGAACAATTACATAAAGAAAACACACCCAATGACGGTTTCAGACGTTTTTTGACTAAATAACTCAAAGACAGATTGACTGGTTGATTGACTGACTGAATGAGAGACAGATGATTGACTGAATGAATGAATGAGTGGTACACATGAGTTTTGACTGCTGAACGCGGTAAAGAATGGAAAAAATTGTCACACCCATAATTCGTTTTCCATTGAGTTATTTGTAAAAATTTCATTTCACTTTTTCTGAGTTGTTTTATTCTCCCAAACACATTTTGATCCTCTGTTCCTCTGCTGCATTTCAGGTGAGTCCGAAGACAAATCGCAGGGAGTGCAAAGACGGAGTCTAAGGATGTTACGATTGGGTTGAGACCACAACTTGATGTGGATAACTAGGGAGCCTGATTATCAAACAAGCATTTTATCATAAAATATAAATACATTTTTGAAATATAATCCACAAGCTTATTCGAATTTATCTTTTTTCTTGAATGGATATGAAGACAACTGTTTGAATATCGGTTATATCGTGTAATACAAGGGTTAGATCTCTACCATTTCCAAGCCTGAGATTTCCCGATGGCACATTGTTTATTGGTGCTGTTTCCGCCCATTGATGCTAAAAATTTCCATTGTGGCTGCTGATAACAGTAGCAGTAGTTGACTTTGACTTTGACTGATCTCAGTCATGAAGAAACTTGGATGGTCCCCTTCAAGAGACCATCAACAACATCGCGTTGCCAGCCCTAGATTCAAATGTGCTATGATAGAGCGAAAGTGGTGGTGGAAAGTTATCGACGGATTCCAGCTGCCTTGTTAGTGGTATGCCGACGAATATGAGCCCATTATGAATAACCTGGTCCCCCTTGTTACATCGGCGGCTCCTCCCGCAGAACAAACCGAATGAAGTGCATTTCGTGAATTGTTCGTTCAATGGTATGTCTTCCACGAACGCCGTCTTTATCGCAAACCTGGCCCTAGTTTCGGCTTATCTATTCACACTGGTCTCCTTAAAACGCCATATTCAGTCAGAACAACTATTAACGGTTAACTGATGGCTGCCGTTCTCATGGCTACTTCTCAGTGGCTAACTAACTCGGAAATCAACACAATCCCAGACATGAAAAAGTGGCGAGAACTGAAATTATATCATCAAGTTGATGGTTAGGAGTATCATTTGCCATGACTCAAAGTCATATCTTCTGCTCCATAATCAGTGACTGGACGGATCTCTTGAGTCCCAACGCGGGAGACCGGCACGACGTAAGTTACCAAGTGCACTGATCCGACTTGCAGTATCTTTTTGTCACGTTGTTAGATTATCAAATACGAGTGCTCATTTATACGCTTATCTTCTCAATGATGACGTAATATTGTGCCAGTGGTATACTATCAAATAACTAAGTCAACATCATCAATCCGACTAAGGATTCAACCCGTGTAATTTTTTTAGTTTCCTGATTGCCAGACGGTAGTAAAAAGAATGTCCACATATCATTGTAAATTGGCCTCTTTCGCGCATCAATTTCATTCCAATGATACTATGAAGCAGTCAGGTAAGGATGATATGCATGACCCACCACAACAAGATAAGCACAAGGCTTGTGCGGTGATTTGACCCCTGGTCTCAACATCCCGCACCTAAACTAAGCACTACTGAGATGGTGCTTCCATCACGCTTAATCAGTGTTGCGGACATATCGAGGCTCAAACACTGAGGACTACTGCGAGTCTCCATCTTCTAAAGCACACTGTTTATGAGTCTCATATAAAATGAGTGATGTAGATGACATATGTCTCAGTGTTTCCGGCTTTCAACATTAACTCCAGGTCGATCAAATGAGGTACTTTGATACCGACGTCGACTTATGCATGTCTCTTCATCAAACAGTACATAAGCACAAATATGGGGGATCAAGAGTAACTACCTCGTCTATGCATCTGCCCAACACAATCTGACAGACTTTACAGTTTGCTCAGTGTATACCGTTTGCTGACAGAAACAGTGTATTTAACCTTCTAGAATCAAGTATCTTTAAAAGAAAAACTAACTGTCAAGGTATGAAGACTAGTAAAGAAAAGCACCATTGCCATATCCCTTTTCGTTCCATTTGCACTGTGAGTGTTTTTGATCAGGAATCAACAATTTTGAAACCGAGTAGGGTGATTTTTGCTGTGAAATAAGAAGTTAATCAAACGATTTATCACGCTGTGAAAACGCATAACATACCATTGAAAACCATGAGAGCACAACTGCACTGCTGTTTCATCAGTCTTGTGAAGAATCATCCAACGAGCGTAAGTGACAACAAGCTGAAGTTTCACTTATGCATGACAGGTCAGTGGTTAGATTCCAGACGAAGTTCTATCTCTCTGAACCAGTTGCTGGTTCACGTGTAGTTCTAACCACTTTACTCTACAAGAAGACACACCAGCGAATAAACATGGAGAGAAACAGTTTACCGGTCTAAAATTCTCCACCAATTGAACGTATGAGTGGGGTACCTGAGGTTCCTGTCGACAGTGGGAGAAGCTATCGCATTTCACTGGACAGCTAAAACTTGTCAAAGGCGGGCAGCCCCCGGCTCAAAAGATGCTACCCAGTTCACTTTTCGTTTGCTCCACTGGGCGCACAGAGCTAAGGACTGAAAAATGGATCGATAACAAAGCACCATAGAAGATAAGTCAAGATAGGATCAATAATCAGGTCTCATGTGACGGACCAGAAAGAGTACTTCCATGGGTGCTTCGATTGCTTTGCCTCCCTGGGTTAACATCCCACTACCTTTTGGGTCAGACATCTCAGTCAAATGTTTCGAATAGGATTCCCAAAGAAAACCCGCTTCTGCAATATGGGCAGCCACGAAGTATGGTTTGTTTAGAAACCTTCAGCTTCCTTCCTGTAAAGAGTCTTACTAATGTTTTTCTTTCTTAACTTAAGATTGTCGCAAGGCACCACAGGTTACTGCAGCTCCAAAGAAAGCACGTGTTCAGGAGTTAGGCTTAGACCAAAAGCACTTCTTAAGCCTACATGTTAACAACACTTGTCTGCTTTTAACGTCCGCATACTGTGTCAGACTGGGCAAAAGCCTGTCCTCTAAAAAACTCTTGAACATTTCAAAATAAGAATACGCTTTAACTATGAAACGCGCATTTTCGTGATCATTCTTCGCATCCCAGATACAACCCCAGTCTTTCGCTCTATTTTTCGCGTGTCAGGTGATCCGGTGTTAAGTGCTCATGATCAGGATGGCGTGAGGATTGCTTTGGGCATGATATCTCATTGAGCACTGTTAGACCGGATTTCAGTCAGCATTCGATTTTGAGCAGTCTGGTTGGACTGTTCTGTGCGTTTCCACAGAAGCAGACTGACATGTCAATGCTTGTTCGTTGTGTCTATGTGTGCACCCAGTGACTGCAGTTCCTCGGGAATTTCTATCTCAATGTGTCTCAGCTGCGTCAAACCGTGCGTTCAACGGTCGTGGTAGTCATTGCTATGAATTTTACCGCCGAAATCAGCTGTTTGGAGATTCTGTGAGGCAACTTGGAAGCCCATTTGCTATCCCGACCTATCGCATTGACAAAAGTGATCCTTTCATCCAGATTTGCTCCAACCATAGACTGTTTCTGGCACGTACTATCTTCTGTCGTAAGAAGCGACAGTGATTCTCAAGGCTTCATCTTTCGTCCTCACAAAGTTGGACTCAGATTGATCATATTACCATTGGCCAAGCTAGTTTGGATCAGCTGAAGATCGTCTTTCAGTTTGGTCTATGCCTGTGGACTCAGATCACGCCTTGGTACATGCTCGTTTCTACTTACATCTGGTCCGGGATAACACCAAAGCCAAATCCAACCGTTCTTCACAGTTGATTGTAGAAGGTAACTGACAATCTACCTTCTATGCAGAGCTGCTACATGCTTATCCATGTCATTAAATATCCATGAGTACACTGGGAACTGACCAAGGAATCTTTGTATACTGCATTCAATGTCACACAAGACTCCGGTTCGCGTAGGCAGCACAAAGGATGGATATCTTTGATATCAGCTGCTTGACTGGATGCTCGCAGATTCGTCCGTCTGGATACCACATTCAATGGAAGGCGTGAATCTCTGAGAGGCCAACTGACGAGAAGCCTGAGAAATGACCACGAGCGGTGGTGGACTGCTAAATTTAGAGGAATGTAGAAGACAGAGTCTGTTGAAAAAAGTTGTAAGTTTAACCGTTTCATTTAAACGCCGGCCCTCAGAAGCCCAATGTAAGCGAGACAACCACAGAATCCGGTGGCTCACTGATTCACCTTCAGAGACGTAGTCTGGATCTTCGAGTGGAGCACTTTAGGGAAAAACTCAGCGAACGTACATTTACCCGTAGGAGAAAACTACAGGTAGATATCACTACCAAATCAGAAATGGTGGTTATCGGGGAGGGGGGTTACTTGAAAAAGAACGAATGAAAGATTGTCTGCTTCCTAATTCAAGGACTAAGGTGAAGTTTCGGTTCCGGAGTAAATAAAACTTCTGGGGATAATTGGATTAATTGAAAAAATTCCCAGAGAATGGTTTGAATCAGTGATTGTGCCAAATTACAAAAAAGGTGATAGGTCCTCTCGTGAAAACCAAAGAGGAATTAGCTAGCTGAGTGTCCTATCCAAGCTGCTCATTCAGATTATTCTTCGCCGATTATCTTATGCTGGCGAAATGTGTACTCGTGAGAATCAAGCCAGTTCCAGACCTTGTCGGCTTTGTATCGACCACATATTTGCCATTCAACAAATTTTAGAACACCAGTACACCATCCGTAGGTCCACATCTGTCTTCTTCATTATGAAAGCGGCAATCGATTCAATCGACTGCACAGTTCTCTCTGGTGCCACCCCTCACCGAAGTTTGTGCCACAGAGATTTATTTCTCTTTTCCAATCCTTGTATGAAAACAGCCGAAACCGATTATATTTTTTGGGGGGGGGGTCTTTCACTCAAGTCCATGAAGAGAAGTGGTGTTCATTGGGTTAGCCTACTATCGTCCTTCCTCTTCAATTTTGTGATTGAAATGGTGCTTGAGATAGCCCTATCCTCGTGTGAGAATAGTGCCATCGATCAGTCTGATTTCAAATGCGCGGACAATATTGTTCTTTTGAATAAATGTCCAGGTAAGTTGCAAGCTTTCCTAGATGGCCTAAACATGAGTGTATTAATGTATGGGGTGCGTTCTGCGCCTTCGAAATGTAGAACGCTACTTGAGGACTGGGTTGGATCTATGTCAATCCTTGTGTTATCGGGGGAAACTCGAGCTGATGTAGATACGTTTTGTTTGCTAGGCAGTTAAATCTTACCAAGGGAACATATATCAGATGGAGTTTCATCA